CCCGGGGAGGAAGGCGAGGCGCCATGCCCGCAGCTCGCCAGCTCCTTCGTCCCCAGAAGCCAAAGCTCCAAGGCCATGCCGGTGCCTCCTGCCCCGCGGCGCAACGAGAACGGGCTCGGGGAGCCGGAGGGCAGCGCGTCCCCGGACTCCCCTCTGGCCAGGTGGACCAAATCCTTGCATTCCTTGTTGGGAGATCAAGATGGTGCCTATCTCTTTCGGACCTTCCTGGAAAGGGAAAAATGCGTGGATACCTTAGACTTCTGGTTTGCCTGCAATGGCTTCAGGCAGATGGACCTTAAGGATACCAAAACTTTAAGAGTAGCCAAAGCTATATACAAAAGGTACATCGAGAACAACAGCATCGTCTCCAAGCAGCTCAAGCCTGCTACCAAGACCTACATAAGGGATAACATCAAGAAGCAGCAGATAGATTCCATCATGTTTGACCAGGCACAGACTGAGATTCAGACTGTGATGGAGGAAAATGCTTACCAGATGTTTTTAACTTCTGATATATACCTCGAATACGTGAGGAGTGGAGGAGAGAACCCTGCTTACATGAACAGCAATGGACTGGGGAGCTTAAAAGTTGTCTGTGGCTATCTCCCGACCTTGAATGAGGAAGAGGAATGGAGCTGTGCAGACTTCAAAAGCAAAATCTTGCCTTCGGTGGTTGGACTATCCAGCAAGACGTTGAGGGTTACGGCGAATGTCAGAGCTACGGAAACGATTGAGAACGGATACAGGTAAGGGAACCCCTGGAAATGGTGCTTGCTTTTAACTTTGAGGACTTTGGGAGCGCTTGTCCGGAGGCTGTTGGGGCGGTGTGCTGGGGAGGCTGGGCTTCGCTGGGGCTGGGGGCCGGGGTGCCTCCCCGCACTTCCCAGCGCTGCCGTTTGCGGGGTGTTGGCTGGGTTTGGGGTGTTTCCCCCCTCTGCGCAGAGGAAAACAAGGTGCTGCACTCTTAAGCTCTGTTGGCTCTTTCAGTTCGCTTATAGATCAAAAACTTCATAGCAACTGTGTCCTCTGGACCTACGTTAATTATTGGTTCAACTTTCAAACCTATTAAGAGCAGTAGTAGAGTGGATCATGTAGACGTATGAATAATGTAACCTGCTAGCTCCCCGGCTCCACCATCAACCAGTGTTTAACTACGTTGGTTATGTGGGAAGCAATTGTGCGGTCATGGAGGAGGAAATGTATGCGCTTACTACATCAAACTCTGCAGCTTGCACAAAATCTGCTTTTATGTTGGCCGTGTGTGTGTGATCTGCCGCCGTTCCCATCGCGTGGGGTGTTGGTACCGTGTCAAAGCCCTTCGGGGTGGCTGGGAGCCAGCGCAGGCAGGAGGATACCTAAAATTGAGCTCTTAAGGTAGTAGAGACATTGGAGGTGTGGAGGAGTAGTAGATCTTTGGTGCTCTCCGTTGGCCGTGTGCTCAGAGTTAAGCTTGGCTCAAACGTGGTTGCGCCTGATGGCAGCTCCCGAGGATGCGGGGAAGGTTGTGCGGTGGCAGGGTCTTCTCCTGGTGCCCTTGGCATGGAGTGCCTCTGGCTTGCTGAACCCTGCTCTTGGTGGAAATGTTGGTGGCACCGCAGCGTGAGGGTAACGCAGTACGAGCCGTCTCGCAGTGAAGGGGGGGATGGGAAAGAGAGACTCTGATGAGCAAATGATGAGTTGTATAATCCTCTGAAAATGTATTCTTTCCTCTCCCCACCCTTGCCATAAACGTGGGTTGTTGAATCAGGGCTGTGAGGAGAGGGCTTTGCCGGCAGCCGGGCGCTCTCCTCCGCTGGCCCGGGAGCCTGGGGTTTGCCGTGGTGAGTGTTTGACATCTCCTTTACAGGAATTTGGAGAGCGTGTCTGTGATTCACCGCCATCAAAGGGCTGCTCCTGGGGAGGCTGTGCTGGAGCGCGCCCTCCTCGCCAGCCCCACGGAGAGCTGCCAGCCGTGACGGGCTGCCCGCTGCTGGGCGGTGG